CTGTATAAAATACTAAGTAGTTCAAAAACCCTGAAATTACAAATCAGAAACAAATTTCTCAATCATTCTGAGTATTAGTGCAATATCCTCTCAATCAGTAACCAAGTTACAAGGGCAGGACAATGGATCTGCTGTGGGACTGCACTTCCAGACAATATATTTTTCTGAGCCTTCCCTTACGATTCTTCAGTTAACCCCAGAAGGAGGAGGCTGACAACCATAAATACAGCACATCAAAAACCAGGGAATAGGAACAAATCAGCAGGTCTGATGAAATATACGAAGTAGGGATGGATGCCATGGACACGGACTTGGACAGAGAAGCTATTGGATTGTTTCCCAAATTTCTCTTTTCACATCAGTAAATGTAGATGGCAGTAACTACTCTGCTAATTCATAGTTATTACCAAAAAAAAAAAAAAAACAGAATTTACTATTCATTTTGTTGTTGTTTTTTTCTTTGTTGCTTTTTTTTTTTTTTTTCTTTTTCAATATTGGGGACTGAGTCTACACTTTAGTGAATGCTTGACGGACAAAGGATCCCCAGGGAGCTACATCCCTGCCCCCGCCCCCCCCACACACACACACACACATTTTTTTTTTTACTTTTCAAAACCATTTTAGACAGGCTCTCATTATGTTTCTCAGGTTGGCCTTGAACCGAATGTGTAGCCCAGGCATGCCTTGAACTTGTTAACCTCCTGTGTCGCTTTCCAAGCAGCTGGGATGACATGCCTGTGCTGCCGGCCTCAGCTATGAATGAAGTTCTTATGTAGTCTTTCTAGAAACCACACCGCACCGTAGAAATAGAAGATAATAATAAAACTCGTATTTTTTTTCAAACAAAATGATCAGAAAATAGCTCATAAGTAGAAACAAAACCAATAAGAAAATGTAAGTTGAGTCTTGTAGACCTGAGTTCTTTATATTTGAGAAGAATGCTGGTATTGGATCTACTAGGGACCCTTGAGTGCTAATTTAAAACCGACGCCTGCCTAAAATTCCTAAATTTGCCTATAGACTCCAGGGCGAAGCAAAAGAGTAGAAGACTAAGGAAATGAAATGCAAATTGTTCCCAGTTACATGTGCTAATGAGCAGGAAGAAAGAGGAGGCCTGTCCATTATCTTTTAATCCCAGCTCACTCAGGGGTGTTTGCTGAGTGTCTCTAAAGACATCTGAATTAATTAAGCGATTAAACTGGTTGTGCAGCTTTTCAAAACTGATTATGGTCAGCACTGAGTTATTTACATTTGTTTGAGAAGAGAAGGAAACTGTATTCAAGAGGGCTGTGCGTGCATTAAAAGTCACCAACAGTAAAACAGTAACTGAGGCCATATATATATCAAGAGCATCAAAAACCATGCTGCAGCCCCACTCCCAACACACAGACACACACACACACACACACACACACACACACACACACACACACACAGGTAATGGCATCCAAAGACAAGAAGACTATCTTCCCTTCCTGCTGCCTTCTCTGAAAGAACCCCAGAACCATTATCAGTTCCCCAGCTCTTTGTTGCCCCAGTAGTCAAGAGGTAGATGATGATGAGTTGGTCAATGCTTAAGCTCATTCTACGTTCTCGTTACTGACAAACATGGGCATTCTTTTTACAAAACTTTTTTATTAGTAATCATCACATAACCAGCTCTTACCCTTTGCTCTACTTTTTCTACATTAAGCAAGTCTGGATGTCTCCAGAGCTGTGAGAGACGCTACAGAAGCTCTGGGCTTCTTCTCAGAATTTTCTTGTATTTCCTCAATTTTGGTGAACTATGAGTCTATGAGAATATGATTTGCTTTCATGTTCTTGTGCATTCCCACACATTGTGGAAGTCCCATGAAACACTGAAACCAAACCCCTAAAAGATGAGTCTATAGGATTTTTATCTCTACTTCTGCATTTCATCTGGATTGTTAAGACCTTTGACATTCTTCAAAAATCTGAGGATTCCATATGATCTCTGATGATGTCAACTATGCTAAAAGTCAAAGCTGAAGAAAAAAAAGGTTAAAGTCACATTGAAAGATGCAAACATTCTGAACATTTGTCAAACTTCTTTAAGAAAAAGATACAATTATAAATACGGTAGCACTCTTCCTGTAGTGGTTGTCTGAATTACTGGATTTTCTGCTTATTCTGTATTGTTATTCATAGCATCCAATCTTATCATAGTCAAACTCTAGTACCTCAAATTGATGGATATGAATAGATATGTGTCTTAAAAGCAAAATGGCAAAGAGTAACTAGTACTCTGTGGCATTTTGCTAAATATTTGGAGGCTCCTCGACATACTGAATTATTTTTATTCCTATTTTACAGCTAAAAAAAATATAAGGAGATTAAGTAACTAGGTGGCTTATGATCTCATCATTTGAAAGTTGTGGAAATTTTGTTAAAGTCTAGAAATGTACTTTTAAGACTGAATCATAATGAGCTATACAAACATTACTATAATGGTTTTAGATTAAATATTACTTATAATATGGAAAATTATAATCAATCTAAATCACTTATGATTGGTCAATTCAACATATTCACAAAATGAACATAGCTCACGGAAAGAGCCATAGTCTTTCATTGCTACATGATATCAGACTCCTAGTAGAGACCCATAATACTTGCTAAAAAATATGGATGAATATAGTCACAATTATAAAAAATGTTTTAATAGAATCATGTAAATCAGGAGAAAGTGCCATAGAAAATGGCACCAAATTCAAACTCTTGGATTTGTGAGTCTACAAGTGAGACTATATACTATTTAGGAAAAATGTGTAAAAGTTTAAATTAATACAAATACATGGGTTCTTTTTCTATGTGCTAATATATGCTGGATAATCAACAAATACTAAAAGAGTAAATAAAGAGATGAAAGTCATTTCAAAGATGAAACTCCTTAGAGGAGAATAAGTGTTTTTTCTTTTGTTCTTTGAAATTTTCTATTTTTTAACAAGATTTTGATAGTGGGTGTGAATTACCTTAGTAATAGGTAATAATATTAAAACTCATGATCAATCTGGGGAATACAATTCAGAATGTTAGAATAAAAGTAGAATATACAGATATAATACATGATCCAATAAAAAAAAACTTCAATATTTCTCTGTTATGTTTTTATGGCTAAGTAAAAAGATTCACCAGAAGTCACAAAAAATGACAGGTCTAATATTTCTTGGCTGATTATTACTGGGGTTGAGTCCAGAATCTAGGTCACTTGCTTTCTAGGCCAGTGGCTACTCATGGCCCTAAGGTGCTTATAATTCCTAAATATTAGTGAACAAATGCAAGTGTGGACACTATATTAACAGCGAGGCAGGTCTACACTTACAAGTGGAGTAGTTTGCTGCTTAACTTTGATGTATTATCCGGAAACCCAAAGTTCTAGGAAATAATCATTCCTTTGGCAAATGTGTGTGTGCATTGGAAGAGCATCCATACATTATCCTAGGAGGATTCCCAGAGTCCTCAAAACGTTTGTGATGGAGTCAGTGACCAGAGAGGGGTAAAGGAAATATGATGGGGTAGGGTGGGGGAGGCGGCGGTAAATGGAAGGGGAGGAAAAGGAACCTCGAGAGTTCTGTCTTCCTCTTTTTTTTTTTTTTTTATTCCTGGAACATGTTTATTAAGATGCAAACCATCAGTTTCAGGATTCTGCTTTCTAAGTAACATCACAAGGAAAGACAAGTGTTGAAAACAGACTAAATGACCTCTATGGCATGAACTCTACCAGACATGTGTCTCATAATTTTATTTTTCCCTATTTAGAAATAAATATGAAATGCTATAAAAAAATAACTTATGCTGTTAAAATGAAAGTTTCTCTTCCCATAAAATATGTTTCTTTTAGAGGGAAGTTTGTAAAACTTTGAGAAAAGGCCAATTAAATACTTCTCTATGCATTTTGTAATTACTGTTTAATTTAAAATTTAACTCTTCCTGAGCTCAATAAAAACAAAGATCCAACTTCATTGGCAAGGTCTCGGTATACCTAGGATATAATTTCAGACTCCATGGGTTTGTTTCATTAAATTCTCTGTGAATCTCTTTGACTGCAACTTCAAATGTATCCAACAAACAGAAACAAAACAAAATATCCCCCCTCTTTCCCAAATTAGAATCCCAAATATAACATTAGAACCCACCATTCTAAGTGGCAGGTCTCTAACACTCTCCACCCCCTTCACAGAAAGCAGTTTAAATCATCACCCAAAAGCAGGAGCTTTTAAATTTCTTAACCTAGTTTTTAAAGTGATGGAATATATATTTAAGACCGAAATCATTCAAGTTGTAAAAGACTTAGATAGGTTAAGTCACCGTTATTTCAAAACTAAATGCCTTTCCCCCCTTCCTCCTTTTGAATCCCAATTCTAAAATAGTATTCACACTCAGAACTCAAGGGTGCAACTTGATAAAGTATTTTCAAGAAAAGTTTTGACCTGTTCTCCTGTCAGGACAGACAAGTTACCCAAAGACTAAGGAAATAGCAATACTTTCTAGCTCCCGGTTAGATTTTCAGTATTGTCTGTCACATAACACAGCAACACATTAGATACCCAGAAATTCTCTGCATATGTCACTAATATAACTCTTTTTTTAACAATTAAAATTTAAATGAGTCACCAAACTGCCCCTAAGGATCTCCACTGTCAAGCTACATGCAACTCAAGTCCAGGAGCCTGGAATCATTGGGTGGCATCACGTGTAACACAAAGACGCGCCAACTCACTTCTCTATAAATACTACATTTCCCAGCACCCGCTGAAGGCAACAGTTTCTCACTTTATTCCAAACTGCCCTTAGACCCAGGAAAGCACATCCTCATCAGTAAGAAGGGCGCTGAAGCCTGTTCCGTGAGTCTTTCCCAAAGGCAGAGGAGTGAAAGCAGTGAGGTTTTATCGCGTGTGGCTGCCTTCCTCCTCCGGTAGCTGCGGGCGGATAGCTAGGGAGAGCGCGAGAGGGAGCAGGCAGGGAGAGTAAATGCTTACAGTTCCCAGAGTTCAGAGAGAATCCTCGGGCTTCTCCGTGCCTCTAACTTTCTGTCAGCCAGGATCCCCTCACAGTTCCGACTTCAACAAAGTCTTTTCCCACTAGTAGGAGGGGCTAAGAAGTGGGCTGGTCTCACTGACTCTGTTAAGGTGGAATTCAAGCCAGGGCGAGCTCTCCTGGTGGAGCCTAACATCCTACATGTACGTGTTTAGTTTCCAGAATCGGACCTTTAAATCCATAAAACGTGCCTTAAAAATGTGTGACCTAACTGGTCCTAGATTGTGTGTGTGTGTGTGTGTGTGTGTGTGTGTGTGCGCGCGCGCGCGCGCGCGCGTGTGCTTGCCCTTAAGAAGTCACCACTTCCTCTTTTTTTCCAAAAGATTAAGAGTTAAGTTGAAAAGATAATGAACTACATTGAGCATTTTTAAAGTCTTTAAAAAGCTAAGTTCCAAACAAACACCACATATGAAATATATACATTTTTGAGATGAACGATGTTGGACCACTTTAAAAATCCAACCTGCTCAAGCTTTCCTCCCCAAACTCAAAACCTCTGAATTGTTTAAGAAAGGATACACCTATGTTACCTATGTTCAGACTTAGAAACAATAACCAATCAGGCAAAGTCCCAAGTTTGCAATACAATTTGAAGTATTGATAACTTTGAACAACTTAGACGTGAAGAAAGTGCAGGCATTGTGTCCCTTGCTTGCTGGTAGCTCACACCTGTAATTCTAGTGCTTGGGAGGCAGAAACAGAAGAGGCTGTGAGTTCAAGGTCAGCCGAAGTTACAAATTGATGCCATATCTCAAAGCAAGCAAACATCATGAGAATCCTTGAAACACCATTATCCTAAGTACCCTGCACAGGAAGCCTGTCACATCTGCCATATCAGTGAAAGTCACTATCTTGCCCCTTCCTCCCGAAAACTCCTTCATTCATCTCCTAGTTAATATCTTCAATGTTTTTAAGAAGCATTCTTTTTTTTTTCTTTTCTGAATTCTCAGTTTGCTTTCTAGTGCCAGGATAAAAACTTTCTGACCAAAAGCAACCTGTGGGGAAAGGGTTTACTTAGTGTACATGTCCCAGTCCCAGTCCATCTTGAAGTCAGAAACCTGATTTCAAAGCAGGTATCAAAGCAGAATGCATTTTTAATCTCATTTCATAATTTATTTGTTTTTGTTCTAGGAGACAGGGTCTCATGCAGCCTAGGCTGGATTCAAACTGAACCATCTAGCAAAAGATGACTTTGAACTCCTAATTCTCCTATCTCCACCTCCCTTGGGTCATAGGCACATGCCACCATGCCTAGCAATTCATACCATTACAGTTTTTAAATGCTCCTTTTTCAGTCACAAGTAAAGCAAATATAAAAGGCAAATCCTGAATCCTATCACAAAATGCAAGTTTATGCGGTATAAATAGAAAGATTCACAAAGTTAGAATAAATATTGCAGTCCACCACAGAAAATATGAGTGCCGCTAAATCATATTCAAGAACGTTCGACAAACAGTAGGATTAGAAACTAGTTTGCCCTGATTCCTTCTACCTACTTGCAGCAATAATTCCACAAGCTGCTTTCTGCTCTCCAAGATTCCCTTTAAATTTCTTGCAGCAAATGTCTGTCCAATTTTAGTGACTCTGTCACAATGGGCACAGACCCCATTACTCAGCTCAGAGAGGGACTTCCAGGCACTCTGCGAGGTTTTGAAAATATTTATGCCGTTGGAATTTAAATGCACTGACTGACGACAGTGTGCAGTCTAAACCCATGTCCTCTGTGTTGAAGCAATTCTGAGTAGGAAGAATAATTGCTGAGTAAATTTCCAATGTTTCTCAAGTAGCTGAACCCTGAGAGATGTCAGCAGAGAGTTTGCCTTTAGCATGTTGGCTATCTAGGGCTAAGATAATAATAGCATTCTTACATGTGTGTTTCTAAAGCCACTGCCTACAACCTCAAGAACACTTTATATTTGCACTTTCAAATACATGATCAGGCCTCGGCGGCTACTTTGAAAAATCTTTCTTCATCCTTCAAGCACATGCCATTTTTCTTCTTCCATTAGAAACACAACAAAACAAGTAATTTTATCTTTACCCAAATTACAGAGATAGTCAAATACCGGGACTTCATTTCATTTAATTTATCATATGACTTTAAATTCCGCAGTTATCCCAAGTTTGTTTTTGTAGGTGAAGTAAAATTGAGATAACTTCCAATAAAAATATTTTTTAAAACCGCTTTTTTTAAAAATGGTGGGTCATGGGACAATTCTTCACTCTTAGCACTCCCGAGACAGGGGGAGAGACGGGCGGATCTCAGTGAGTTGAAAATCAGTCTGGTCTACATCAGTAATTCCAGCCCATCCAGTTTACATAGTGAGAGCCAGTCTCAGAGAAAGAGAAAGAGAGAGAGAGGGGAGGGGACAGGGAAAAAGAAAACCTAGGCTGTCCAGAAGGTTCAGTGGGTAAAAGTGCTCACCACACAAGCTTGATGACCTGAGTTTGATCCTTGGATCGCACACTATAGTGGGAAGAGAGAACTAACTGACCCCTGAGAGTAGTCCTCTTACCTCTGCAGACACACATGTACATACACAATTACTATTATTATTACTATAATTGTTATAAATTTAATACAATAAACACAATTTTAATAATAATAAATATAATTTAAATACACAAACATAAGCAAAGAAACATTTACTTAATGAAAGAACCATATTTGCTCCAAATTAGCTAAATGAGGGGCTGGGGAGATGACGCACTTGCTAAAGTATTGGCCAAGGCAGTGTGAGGATACTGGTCCTGGTCCCTAGCACCCGCATTCATGGCGATTCGTTTTTACAAACACAGAAATGGGAAAGTAGAGATATGCAGATCCCTGGGGCTAGCTGGCCAGCTAATCCAGTTGAACTGGTCAACTACAAGTTCAGTAAGAGATCCTTCTTCAAAGTAATAACAGTAATGATGATGGTGATAACAAGATCGAGGGCCGGGAGAAATGACTCAACAGCACTTGCTGTTCTTCCAGAAAACTCATGTTAGATTCCCAGAACCCATTTTGAGCAGTAAACAACTGCCTATATCCCAGCTCTGAGGAAACTGATGTCTTCTTCTGGCCTCCATGGCCATCCACACATAGGTGACAGAAATAATAGAAATAACTTTTTAAAAACATATAATGTGGAAAGTGACCAAGGAAGGCAATGGATATTCATCTTTGGCCTCCAGGCATACACCTGTAACACACCTGAACATTATATATATATATATATATATATATATATATATATATATATATATATAAACACTTATAAACACATATACATATACAATGCTCATGTGAACACACATGCGCACATGTGCTCACACCCCCACACAAAATTAACAAAAACCAACTGTTTTGTTCCCTTAGGTGGACCCATTAAGAAAAGCCTTGATAGCTCAAGCAACTAAAATATCTCTTAATACACTACTGCATTGGTTAAACTTTATGATTCAATTGGTACGGGGTAAAGGATGCTCAGATGGTTAGGGAAACATTTTTTCTGAGTGGATCCCTAGGGTATTACTGGCAGAGATTAACCTTTAAATCAGTAGACAATCCTCTTTAGTCTATGGAGGCAAAGGAATAAAGCAAAATAGCATTCCAGGAGGTACTGGAGAGAAAGCAAACAGAATAGACAAGGTCCATGTTTTCATGGACCTACATCCTGGATGGTGAGAGGGCAGAGAACCCTCAGAGACTTCTGAAGCTATTGTGTCCCAGAAAAACCTCTCTAAGGATGTGGCATTTTGGCTGAGGTTTGGAAGATGAAACCAAATATGGGAGGAATGTTCCACACAAAAGAACCAGAAAGTACGCACATTAAAACGTAGATTGGCCCGTGAAATTTGAAAGACACACGTGAGAGATCCAGTTCTTGGGCCTTGAGTAGCAAGCATTAAAATGAACAAAGAGAAAAGTGTTATTTATTTGGGGAGCTATTTACCATGCAGAGAAACCATGAGGTACAAAGAAACCCACTGCCAGTGTTTTATTAGGGGAGGGTAAAGAGGGAGCGTGCAATAGGCTTATTAGAAACGAACGCTGTGGAAGAAAGGGGGCGGGGAAAAGGCTGGAATGTACTTTTATGGTTCCCCCCCCAACTCTCAACCCCCACCCCATGTGCATTTGGGCTTACGTAGCTACACCACACATACCCATAGATTATGCAATCACATGGTGTATGTATTACGTAGGACATAAGGCCCTGAGATGACTAAGCATTCTGCCTCACAGATGGACAGCACATGCGAGGCCATGTAGCTAGGGAGTGGCTAGGGTTTCCAACAAAAAGAGTGCTAAATTAGAAAGCCAGTGGGGACCCTGAAGCTAGGGTTGGAATTTGGGGGTAAATGGAAACAACAAAATTAGAAGTCAAAACTAAGGGAGTGAAAAGGAGTTTCCTCCAGTATACAGCAGAGTTTATGGGGAGAAGAGCTGGAGGCAATTGTAGAAACGTACATTGGCGGTCAGGTCTCTAAAAAGTTTTGACAGACGTCTATTTTCAGACCTAGAATGAGATGCTCTAGATAATCCAAAATGTTCTGCTTAGAATTTGGAAGCTGCTGATTGGCGACACTCGTCTCATTGAGCTTCTGCACAGACTACCGTTGCTAAACTCCTGACAGCAGATTAGATGGGAATCAGCCAGTGACGTTAAAAAGGAGCGCAGTCAAGCAGGCCCCGTGCACTGGGACCTGAATGGGAGGAGGCCCATCAGGGTGGAGTAGACACGTAGGCACGGAATACTAGATTGAAACTAAACTGCAACTCCATCCTGTGGAAGTCAGTTTATATAAGACCCACATTTTGGACTCAATTTAGACTTAGAGACTTGATGTTTTCTACATGCGTGGTGCCTATTTAACACAATATGTATGATGTAAGGTTTTGTTTGTTTGTTTTTGGTGTGTTGAGACAGTGTCCTGTAGTTGAGACTGACCTTGAACCCCCATCCTCCCAGCTCCACATTGCAAGTCCTGGAATCACAAACATGCACCACACACCCTTCTCAGAACTTAGGATTTTTATCTTCAAAATGCTGTTTGC